AATATGCAAGAAATGCAAATCATACCCAAAGTTCAACATTGACCTATTTAAACCGGTGAAATGTCCCCAAACTCATATGGACCGTATGAAATCAATAAACACCACAACTTATTTGACCACCTAATTAGAACCAACATAAGTCAATAAAATGCATTTGCTTAATATATAGGAGAACCCGTGCTAAAAAGTATGATTAACCCAATACCCATCATTGGTTGGGGCAAATCATTTCTAAATGAAATTATATCATTTATATTTTCATAATGCCTTATAACATAATAATATGCTTTTTTCAAATGGTTTATAAAACCAAATAGAAAACAAGTATAAAGAGTGCATTAACATCAAATAATCTTCATTTATACAATAAGCCATGAAAAGAACATGGTCTTATGATTTATTTGTTAAAATGACCGAAAAGCCCAAACATAGGCATTTTTCAAGATTTATAAAATCAAATGTATCAAAGATGCAAACTTTATCAAATAATCAACACATTTGAAAAATATCAAGGAAAACACTTCAATACATCAACATGGACATTTTTGGCATTATAGAGTTTTCACAAAGCAACTTGAAACTCACATTGCTAGGTTAGGTTAAAGCTAATTTCCAAACTCATTTCCAACTTCTAAAAGGTGAAGACTAGAGTCTACAAGTACATCCGCCATTACTTCTCAATATCACTTTTCATGGGTATAATTAAACCAAATATGAACTTAATCTTTAGATCTATAAAAATCCTCAAAATACCCAAGCACTTACCTAATCAAGATCTAGAAACCTTTCATCATAGATCTTAAATATCCATGGTTCTCCTCTTCATTTGCTCCAAAAAAAATCCCAAAAACGTCCCCAAAATGCCAAAATCGCCAAAGAAGGCAGGAAAGGTGGTGGAAGAAATTGGTGCAAAACTTTGAAAATCGAGCTTAAAAGATGTTCCAGAGGCTTCCCGCGACCTTTCCCATGACGTAATTTGCATGCCAAATCGATTGAGTCCAAAAACATGCCAAACAGCACTATTGTAGCTCAGGCCGCAGGTCGTGTTGTTTCCCGACTGTTTCTAGACCATTTTCAAAATATTTATTTACCATTTTCTGATCGTTTCCAGATTTCATTTTGATAGTAACAACGGAGTTTTGGAGTGTTCTAGTTGGGCACCTGTCCTCCATGATCTTAGTCATGTGTATGTTTATGGTTTGTGCTTTCAATGGTTTGAGTCTTAGGTTATTGGGAAGCTATCTTAAGTAGTGGATCAGTTATTATTCAAAAATTTGTTCCCATTTAATTCTTATTTTCCATGAAAAAACAATCATTTTCTCTCTGTAAAAAATTAAGAACTACAAGTAGAAGAAGGCCCCTCGAAGTGCCTATTGTTCTACTCACATTAACCACATCCATAACAAACACCTTCAATTGATCCATCGTCCTTACCCCATATGCAATGTCCCACATCTCGTTCCCCCTACACCAATGTCGGAGAAGAAGAACAGTTGCTTTTACTTCAAGTCTGGTTGGATCCTAGATCTCGTCTGCCCTCCACTAACTCTTTTTTTGCTTCACGTCTGTTTATTTTATTTTGTATATGTAATTTAGTGTTTACTTTTGGTTTTGATTTAGGTTTTAGTTTTTATTTTGATTTAGGGTTTCTATTAAAAACATTATTGAAAGAAATTTAATAAATTGTTGTTGTTGATGAATTTTTTGAATCAAGATTGCTTTGTTCTTAAAAGGATTGATTAGGTTTTTGATGTTTTTGAATGGAATTTTCATTTAGTGTGTTTAATGTGATGATGCTAATGGTTGGAGGTTAAAGAAGATGGGATTGAAGAAAAACAAAAGTAAACAATCTAAAGAAAATTAAAATAGAGAAAAAAAATTGACAAATGACCATTTTTCCAAGATGATAGACGAGAATTATACCAAAATCAATACAAATTGCGTATATAGGTGGAGGCTTCTCATGTAATAAATGAATATATGACCAAATCCATAACAATTCACAAATCAAATGAACCAAATCCATTACGAAATATCGTGTGAGAATATGAGCTATGATGAGACCACTTCTGAGTTTTTGGATGAGTCGACTTTTTAATATAACTTAATTTTTTCAGTTATTTTCAACCACATTCATCCATCTTCAATTACATTCATCTACTTTTTTTAAACTTATCTTCACTTTTATGTTATTTTCACGATTTTTTATATATATTTAATTACTCTGAGATGCATGAATTTGTTAAACTTTAAACCATAATGATTAAAAAAAAGGTAAAACAAAAAGTGGGTGAACATAAAGAAATGTTTTATTCTCACATTATCACCATAACTTTGATTCTCATCGAATCCAATCCTCAAATCCATAATTTACTCTATATTTCAAGAATAAATATATTATTGTTAATAATTAAAGGATAATTCTTATTTTTAGTGAAACCAATCATCATTATATCATATATTATTTTCACAACTTATACATATATCAATCATGTCATGAAAAAGTGATTAAGATAGCTAAATCTAATCTATGGTTAAAAGATCATTCTCATAATACTGATTTATAATGTTGTATGGTACTTTTTTTTGGAAAAATTACCAACTCGACAAAAAACCAGCATCTAGATAACATTTTTCTTAATCATTAATATCGATAAAAGTAAAAAATGTTTGTTACATTAATTAAAATAAAGTTACCCTTATAGTTTTAATTAAGATAAAATTTATAGCATTATAATACATTTTTCATTTAAAAAATTATATAAATCTAACAACCATTTTTATATATGTTTATCTGACTTATAGTGATCATTCATCAAAGAATGACTCTGGATTAAGATTTCCTATTTGTTTTACGTCATTCTCTCGGGCGAGCTACTGATCATCACCTTTGATGAAGAATCAAGAAGCAGAATTGGCAGAGAGAACCAGTCATGATATGATATATTACCAAACGGCCTTCGGTCTAGCGGTATCGTAGCCCTTGGCTTCCTAGGAGGTTAAGGGTTCAAACATCACCAAAGGTGAGGAGGGTGTGTGAGTTTATTTGTTGCATTTGTTGTATATAAATATTATATACTTCAAAAAAAAAGATATGATATATTGTTCATATTGTTGTAGCAATGGAAATACCCCTTTATGAAAGAAAAAAGACACTACGTAACTTTATTGCATTGGAAAATACGATAATATAAATATGTCATGTACCCTCCTCTTTAGTGGATTATTTCAACGCAAGGGTTCATATTTGTTCTATTCTGTTGGTAATAACGGAACAATTTTGTTCTTGCATCTATAGTATTTTTCCCCCGGTGGATTTCTCTCTCATTTCAAAAATTGTCAAATTGAAATGTCATAAACTGCATTTGATTCTAATCCTTCCAATACTGATTCAAAGTGCGTTGCTGTGTCAGAAGGACTTGAACCCTCATGATTTTTTAAATCGATCGATTTTCCTCTTCCGGAAGAAATCGAAGAATTTCTTGGGAATCCTACAAGATCCGTTCGTTTTTTTTCCTCTGACAACTTCCGCTGAAGCTACTATCGGATCAACATCCGGAAGAGGCTTGTTTAAGTCTAAAAAAATTAACCAATAATTGTTTAAGTCTAAAAAAATTAACCAATAAAATACAAGAAGATTGGTGTACTGAACTCTTGTGCATTTTATGAATCCCCTAGGTAAAATTTGGACCAAGTTTAAAGAAGCCCATGTTTATGAGAAACAAGGCTAGGCCCAACAAATAAAGGAAAACCTTTTGATAGCACACTAGCAAAGTAAAATAAAATAATGATTTATGTTAACAATGTTTGATTGTTAAGAGAAAATAAAAATCTATATTATATTATAAAGCATTTGACAAAAACTTTTTAAAAAAAATTATAAATAAAGTATGTTTATTGATACATATTACTTAAAATTCAAGATTACAAGTAAATCGTGTATAAGTATAAATTATTAAAGCTTCATGTTTAAATTCATGTAACTAACGACAAATAAACATAATCTAATATAGGATAAACATCTCATTTTAAATATAAAATATTTAAAAAAAATTAGGATAATCATTAAATTCTAATAGAGTTTTTAATTATTATCTTTATAAAAAATTATATTATCAAATCTAAATTAAATTACATCGTTACGTAAAATTAAATTATAAGAAAAGTTTGAATTGCAGAAATTGCACAAAACAAAAACTTTAATAGTTAATTTGATACTAATATCTATATACTATTTTTAAAATTTTATGATATTTTAGAATTTAGAATTTATATTTTATTCAAAAATAAAACATTATCGCTTTCTCAAAACCACATAAAACCGTTTATATCGATATAGATAAAGAATAAAATAAAAATATTAAACTGAAATGTGTCTCGATGCATTACAAAAGTACTCTTCTAATTAAAACATATGTATTTGCATTAGAAACAGGAGGAAAAAAAAACCCCCCGACTTCAAAATAACAATCGACTTAGAAAAATCTTGACCAATAAATATAGCCATTACTTTTATATAAGAAATTTAAACAATTTATGCTAAAATTCATATAACTATAAATTATCAATAAATTTAAGACGGTCAGCGTTCGTTCAGACCTGAAAAAGCATAAATGCAACACATACTTTGATAACACATTAAATTAATTAAGGGGCCATTTACTACTTATCAGTGCTTACCGGTAAAATTTGACATTTTTATTAACGTACCATAAGATTTTAGTCCACCAAAGACATCCTATGCAACAATTTACTCGGTGAATGCTTACCGTGGTAAGAGTCGCCGCCCTCACTTCTAGGTAAGATTCATAGTCATTGTCTCGCTCTTACCGAGTAAAATTTTTGGTTCTTACCATATTCCTCCAGTAAAGTAACATGACTTGGTAAGCACTTACCCGAGTAAATGTTTATCAATAGGCCCTAAAAGAGAGATTAATATGAAAGTGGTCTTTGGAACTACTACTAGTATTCAAGAGTTCATGTAAACCTTAAAGAAAATATGAGAACAAACAGAAGATTAGAGGGAAAGATTTTACATTGAACTAAAAGTTTCAACACAAAACCAACAATTAAATAAATGTTCATATCTATTGGTCTCTATACTTTCTGCTCTAAATGTACAACCACTTCTAAGCCACCTCGCATCTTCAATGCAACAATTGAAGAACCCCTTTTGGTACAACAACAACAACAACAACATTTCTATTTGCATATACACAAAAACTCTCGACATTTGCTTCTCATTCTTCATCAGCAAACAAGGCCACCGAGATGTCGGCCAGTTTTTTCCTATTCAATCGAGAACGAGCTACTCTCGATTGTCTTGGAGCATTTGGAGCTTCGATTTCGTCAGCATCGTCTAAAGATGGATCTATGCTACACCCAAAAGCAGGGACCTTCTTCGGTGTACTATATGCAAAATGCATTTTTTTGGCAATCGTAGCCTGCAAACATCATAAATCAAAGACCTGTTAAAATCAAATCCCAATGTTTTTCACTCGAATGTAGGATTCGAAGAAGGGCTATCATTCACAACTTAACCTTCTACGGGTTTAATGGCATTCCTTATCATGAAAGTGGCATTTTCAAATCTGTTTAATGGGAGTGGGTGCAGTACGATCCTAAACCAAATCACACACATTCGGTGTATGTCTACCTCAAAAGTAGGATCGGGGTGGGATATAAATAGGAATACTGTCTTATTGACTATATACCTCCATTGATGAACAGTAACAGTTAAGCAGCAAAAACAGTTGTGTATTTGTTTTTTTTTTTTTCTTTCAAAACCCTAAAAATCAAACTGCTGAACTGTAAATTGGAGGTAGGACTTACAGCTTCTCTGATCGGTTTTGATACATGAAACAGCTTCTTCAGATCATCATGTTCTACACCACACAAAACCCTAATCTGCAAAAACACACACAAAAACCATCACTCGGTGAAACAAATTAGGACTAAAAAGGCATTCTACAAGCATCAAATCGGAACTTACAAGAATATCCTGAGGGAGAGCTTCAAGCAACGATCTTTCCGAACTGAAATTGTTCACCATTGATCGTTTCTTCATAGGCGAAATGGAATCGATATCCATTTCATTCAAAATCAAAATCCTCTTTCTACCGAATGAACTGGTACGTCTTACTAACCCTAAGGTGTAATTCTTCCCCAATGCCATTTTAAATTCCTGATACATCAACACAATCAAAATGGGAAACGACGAAGAAACCCCAAAATCAAAATCAAAACATGAAATTTATAGGTAACGAACCTGGTTTCTTAACCCTAATTTCTCGTTCAAGTAAATTGCGATTGCTGTAACGGTTGTTCTTGAGAGGGAAACAGTAGCAAATCTGCAGATCTTGTGGAGAGGTTTAAGGGTTTTGTTCTGCGGATCAAAGAGATAAATATCGAATTAAAATCGTATTTTTTTTTAAAAGTGCGTGGAAATGACCAGAATATTCTTTATTTTTTCACGTTTATGCGTTTTTATATGGGTGTCGAGAAAAGTAGCCGTTGGAGATGGAGTACACGTGGGAGTGTCTGATTTGTTGGAGGAAGCTTCGTGGTTGTGGTTTTCGCTGACGTGGCAGATTTGGTCGGTTTGAGTCGGCTGTCTGTCATTTTCTTCTTGAACACGTATCTTGTTTCCTTGAGGAGAATCCTATGTGAGTTTGCGAATGAGGATATGTCACGTGGTGGTGGTGATAGTTAAGATGTTGACACGTTTTAGTAAAGAAGATGGACGGTCGAGATTTAATGACGGTGTACGTGTGGGGTTTGTTCTATTTCGGCGGCTGTTATTATGCGGCTTTCCCACTCCCCCGGTGATTTACGTCAAACGCGTTTACCGCTGCCGGCACACCATTACCATTTTCCTAAAATAAAATAAATAAATATTTTTTTTTCCTTTTTAAAAAAACTGTTTTTTTTCCAATTCATTTTATACAACGTATATTTAATTTTTCAAATGCAATGATATTCATATTGTATTTATTTGATGTTCATTTTTCTTTTAAATAAAAATTCGTATTAAATTTAATTATTCATATTTTTCTTTTAATTTTGAATTAGTTTTGTAATCTAATTAAGTAATTAAATTTACAGAAGCTATTTTTTTTCAATAATTATATTAAAGTAAATATCAAGTTAAAGTTATTATATCAACATTGTATTGTGAATTCTTTGATACCTACCATTAGGTTGTTATATGTTATTTATTTATAAAATGTATATATTAAAACATCCAAGTTAGAACAAATAGAATTATTTCTTTAGAAAAAAGTGTCAGTGTCCAACCCAATACTCCTAACCATGTTATCATCAATCACTTGATATTGACTTGGTATTTGATACCCAAGATTGATAAAGACAATTGGTATGAAAGATCATTAAGGTGAAGACAAAAAGCATGGTCGATGAGAACAAGAAATATGAGCCAAGAGGAACGATTTGTTGTTCCTGATGTCGTTTTGGTTGAAGCAGGTGTTGTAGATGAGGACTACCAATGAGACATTTTGACACAATGAAATAACATTTAAGCCATTCAATAAAATAAACATCAATATCATTTCAAATCAAAAATCTTTATTTTACTGTATGAGATCATATGTTACAACTGTAGTTTTTTGTTTTTTGTAATACAGTGTTAACAAGAGTAAATTGTAATTTAAGCACAAAATACAAATGCTCAAAAAGTTGGAAACAATAAATGAAAATAAGTGTAATTTAATATTTTAATTCGTTACCGTTGCCTTTTGTAACACACATATTCCTACGGTTAATTGTTTATAGGTGTGTACTTGTTTTAACGACTCATTTGGTGTTTATTCATGCTTGGATGCATGTGACATGTAAATACAGGGGCGTGGTCGAGTTGTGGTGAAGGAAATTTGTATCAAGAGTCATTTGAGGTGTTATGAGACGTCCCATGCAAGTTTTGTTGCTCGAAAAGTCAAAAAAGATTTTGAAAACACAAAACAGGGTGTTAAGCGGGTTCTCGGGCGACCTAGGTCGCCTCCTAAGTCGCCTAAGGCTCTGGAGAGGTTTTTGTTCTCAGGCTACTTTCCAAGCAACTTAAGTTGCTTGGAAAGTCGAGTGTTGCCCCTGATAGGTTAAAACCCATTTTGAGTGATGGTTTGCCATTTTCACTCCCTTTCTTCATTCCTCTTCCATTCAAGGAGATTTTCATACTATTCTGAATGATTCTTAAAGGTTTTTTAGGGAAAATTGAAAGATTAAAATGGAGATTGAAGATCTATGATCGGATTCTCAAGATTCCTCAAGTTTTCTTGAATCAAGGTTTGTCTTGGAGATGAAGACCTTCATTGTAGAGTTTTGGGTCGAAAGTTTGAAGTTCTTAGAGAAATAAGTTCTTGAGTATTTTGAGCTCTATATTTGAGGGATCTTTATAGATTTGAAGTTTATGTTAATATACGGTCCATTTCTACACATGGGTTGTTGCCTAGAAAAGATATCTAGAGATCCTTGCTCATCGATTCAAGTCTTCAACTTTGGAAGGTAGATTTTGGGTTTGGAAACATGGTTTAACTTAACTAAGCAAAATGAGTTCAAGTCGTTCTGTGAAAACTTTGTACATGCAAAAATATATATTTTGGAGTCTTAAAGTGTTTTTCTTGATGTTTATCAAATGTGTTGATTATTTGATGAAGTTCATTTGGTACATTGGGTTTAATAAATCTTGAAAAATGCATATATTTATGATAATTTGGTATTTTGATAAATAAGCCATAATAGTGTGTTTCTTTGATGATTTATTTTATAAATTAAGTTTATTTCATGTTAATACACTTTTAGTGTATTTCAGTTGATAATTCGTTGTAAAAAGTTAGACTTGTATTGCTTTTATTGAATACTCACATAAGTGTCGATTTTATTGGTTATTTTCGGCTCAAATGAGTTTTGGGAATAATTATTCGGTTTAAATTACTCAATTGAGCTTTGGACATGATTTACATACTGTAACACCCGCATTTTACCATGACATATGTTACGTAATCTAAAACAGATTCTCCAAAATGATGGCTAAATTAAAACTGTAGATCATTTATAGCGGAAGACTTTAAAGAATAAATATATAACTTAATGTCATTTCGTCCCATACCGGATTGCTTTACAAATTTATCTATCATAAATGATTGCACATAAATATTGAACTTAAATGGAGTAGGCAAGTCTCTACGTCTTCCCTTTTCCTTTGTCCAACCTGCAACCTTTTGTCTCTAAGATACATGTTATAATCACTTTATAAAGCTTAGTGAGTTCATGGTTTACGTGAATAAAAAATTATTTCATATCATACATATCAACTTGTAAACTCTGTACCAAATAGTATGCATTTTCTGAAGAAAAAAAATGCAACACTGAAAGAAAAGAGATCTCATAAATTGTCTGTCGGGTATGAGTCATTTAGTCATTGGCATTCCCAGAGTTGTCTGACCTGCACTTGTCTGGACACCCATTATGGGGTCGTGCCACTTGTCGTGTGACTTAATGATCAAATGTCACCTATTAAAATTGATCATAAAACTTTCATATGAAATAGCATGCTAGAGTTATTTGAAAACTAAATAAACACATAACATGCAACTAATCATAAAATAACATACATGCAAAATATATTATATCATATATGTAAACTGAAACATCATGTATACATGCACATCACCATAAAAATCATAAATGCTCAAAAATAAATTTGTATGCAGGTACGCATCTCATTGTAATTCTCATGAAGACTTACCTGATTGTGAGTAGATTGATTACTAATAGCCCTTGACTAAATACCTATACATTTTGTACCATAATATTTCATTAACGGGTTAATTTCTCCAAAAGTCAATTATGGTCAATATGACCCCGACCAAACATCAAACTTCATATCCGAACATCTTAATATGCCTCAAACAACTCTATTTTACCCATCATTAAAATCCACATGGGTCAAACATGTCAAAAGTCAACATTTGGTTAACTCGGTCAACCCCTACTAACTTTAGTCAAACCCCAAGTATACAACTCGATGGCCTCCTAAAAATGTTTTAATATCTTATAATTTCATTTCTCTAAATTAAAGCATCTCAATAAATGCTTAACTCAAAATGCGATGCTTTAATCCCATTCTTAAATCATCGAAACAATTTAATAAAACTTTTTGTACCACATTTGATAACTACTCTTAACGTTGATTTATCCTTTCATTCATTAAAGGGATCATTTACCCCACGTTAAAGCGTCTCAATAATATTTAACCAAATTACAACACTCAAAATCCATCATCTGAATTAAATAATTGCATACGCACCTCCTTCGGATATAATTAGTTAATGTGTATTCTAAAAAAATTAATATATTATTTAAAAATAATTCAAATTAATATATTAATTAATTTACAAGCTAAGTTAATTAATTAACATAAGTGTATCTTAATGTAATATGAAAATAATTAATTAACTTAGGCCCAAACATAATAATTAGAAGTCCAACTAAATAACAAATTAAATTGGACCTTAATTAATTTGGAAAACATTTAGTCCAAAACTCTAAATAGATACCTAACAAGAATATGGACTCCTATCTAATAAAATCTGATGGTCTATAACAAAATAAAAGCCCAACAGTAGTTGGCCCAAGACATATCAGGTCTGGATCCATGCCCCAACCCGAAACCACACCAGATCCGACCCGAATTTGAGTTTATGACCCGACGCGAGTGCTGCCACCGACAACGACCTTTTTCAGGCCGTTTGACATTTTCTTTTGACCGTTTCCGCTTATTCTTTTTGCTAACACTCTAGAAAATGATTTTCCCAATCATAGAAAAAAGAATCAACAAAAACCATCAAGTATTAAGTCTCATTCTCATTTAAAGTTTAGGTTCTAAATCCACTCGAAAATCAATAAAAAACGCAAAATCGGACCTCCAAAACTAAAATATGAGATATAAGACTTCTAATACTCCATAGAGAATCTAAAAAGGAAGCTAACCATATAAAGAACTTGAAATTTGGTTGAGTATTTTACTTCCAATAGTCAATGAACGGAGTTTTTCGAACTCGAACTTCAATCTCTGATTTCTCTCTCAAAACTCGACGAAATACTGAGCTTCTTGAAACAAAAGTGTAGAGGAAAGTATTGGCTATGTATATCTGAATTTTTTTTGTTTTAATAGTTTGAAATTTTGAACCAATAGGAAGCTTCAAAGGATTTGTCATTTTCAAAATTCTGAAAATAATCAGATATGTTCTTTTGTCATAACAGGTCCCTCATGTATGAGGAATTCGCTATCCAACCATGCCCCTAAACTTTTATAAAATGACACTTGGCCTCTGGCTTCAATACTTTGGCCAACTTTACACTTTTCACCCTTAATCAGACGTTTTCTTTCATTTTTAGTCCGATTGAACATAAGTTCTTTTCTTTTCACTTCTCACTTTCATTAAA